TGGCACGTGCATGTATATTCGACCGTTCGAAAAAAGGTCGTGTTGGTCGAAACGTATCAGATCATTATAGGCAGAGCATTTTGTTGGCAGTACGGGGTGCCTAGAGGTGTAGAACCCAAGCCAAACCAGGCGTATTTCTTAATCAAGCATCCGATCCCCGTTCGTTCGGCCTTTCCACCTCCCAAAACTGCGGTTGATCCTATCCTGCTCTTTGTGGTTGATGTTCGGGCCGGCGTACGCTGGCAACGGCGTGTCCATATGAATGGATTGCTGCAGTGCCGACAGCTGGTACATCATTGCCGCCCACTCCAGGTGAAATCGCACGTGCATGTCTATTCGACCGTTGGACGAAAGGTCTTGTTGGTCGAACGTATCAGAATACGGTAGGGAGAGCATTTAGTTGGCAGTTCGGGGTGCCTAGAGGTGTAGAACCCAAGCCGAACCCGGCGTATTTCTCATTCAACCATCCAAGCATCCGTTCGTTCGGCCTTTCCACCTCCCAAAACTGCGGTTGAACCTATTCTTCTCTTTGTGGTTGATTTCCGGGCCGGCGTACGCTGGCAACGGCGTGTCCATATGAATGGATTGCTGCAGTGCCGACAGCTGGTACATCATTGCCGCCCACTCCAGGTGATTCGCAGGTGCATGTATATTTTTCCGTTGGACGAAAGGTCGTGTTGGTCGAACGTATCAGATCATGGTAGGCAGAGCATTTTGTCGGCAGTTCGGGGTGCCTAGAGGTGTAGAACCCAAGCCGAACCCGGCGTATTTCTCATTCAAGCATCCGATCCCCGTTCGTTCGGCCTTTCCACCTCCCAAAACGGCGGTTGAACCTATCCTGCTCTTCGTGGTTGATGTTCGGGCCGGCGTACGCTGGCAACGGCGTGTCAATATGAATGGATTGCTGCAGTGTCGACAGCTGGTACATCATTGCCGCCCACTCCAGGTGACTCGCACGTGCATGTATATTCGACCGTTGGACGAAAGGTCGTGTTGGTCGAAACGTATCAGATCGTGGTAGGCAGAGCATTTTGTCGGCAGTTCGGGGTGCGTAGAGGTGTAGAACCCAAGCCAAACCCGGCGTATTTCTCATTCAAGCATCCGATCCCCGTTCGTTCGGCCTTTCCACCTCCCAAAACTGCGGTTGAACCTATCCTGGTCTTTGTGGTTGATGTTCGGGCTGGCGTACGCTGGCAACGGCGTGTCCATATGAATGGATTGCTGCAGTGCCGACAGCTGGTACAACATTGCCGCCCACTTCAGGTGACTCGCACGTGCATGTATATTCGACCGTTGGACGAAAGGTCGTGTTGGTCGAACCGTATCATGTAATTGTAGGCCGAGCATTTTGTTGGCAGTTCGGGGTGCCTAGAGGTGTAGAACCCAAGCCAAACCCGGCGTATTTCTCATTCAAGCATCCGATCCCCGTTCGTTCGGCCTTTCCACCTCCCAAAACTGCGGTTGAACCTATCCTTCTCTTTGTGGTTGATGTTCGGGCTGGCGTACGCTGGCAACGGCGTGTCCATATGAATGGATTGCTGCAGTGCCGACAGCTGGTACAACATTGCCGCCCACTCCAGGTGACTCGCACGTGCATGTATATTCGACCGTTGGACGAAAACTTCGTGTTGGTCGAAACGTATCAGATCATGGTAGGCAGAGCATTTTGTTGGCAGTTCATGGTGCCTAGAGGTGTAGAACCCAAGCCGAACTCGGCTCTCTCGCGTCCGACTGTTCCTTGTTTTGACTTGCATTCTCCGGGATCTGACCTTGACCATGTCCCGCTCGTTGCTGTGGTTGATGGTCGGGCTGGCGTGCCTGGGCGACGGCTCGTCATGATGAATGGGTGTCACTATTGATGGCAATCACAACCCCGGCGCCGACAGCTGCTGGAACAGTGTTTCCTACTCCTGGTGACGCCCTAGTCATGTTTGTCTGATGGTGGCTTGGAACGGTTCATGAAATGTGTTAGCGTTCCAAACGTGTGAGACCATGGTGTGTGTAGCGTTGTTTGGGCAGTTCGGGGTGCGTAGACGTGGAGTGCCCGTCGACGAACTGTTGGGTTGGGCTGTTCAGCGTCCGATTGTCCCCCGTTAGGACTTGTATTCTCTGGGATCTGACCTTGACCGTGTCCCGCTCGTTGCTGTGGTTGATGGTCTGGCTGGCGTGCCCGGGCAACGGCTTGTCATGATGAATGGGTGTCACTATTGATGGCGGTCACACCCCCGGCGCCGACAGCTGCTGGAACAGTGTTTCCCACTCCAGGTGACGCCCCAATCATGTTCGTCTGATGGTGGCTTGGAACGGTTGATGAAATGTAGTTTCGGTCGAAACGTATGAGGTCATGGTGTGTGTAGCGCTGTTTGGGCAATTCGGGGTGCCTAGACGTACAGTGCCCGTCGAAGAACTGTTGGGTTGGGCTGTTCAGCGTCCGATTGTCCCCCGTTAGGACTTGTATTCTCTGGGATCTGACCTTGACCGTGTCCCGCTCGTTGCTGTGGTTGATGGTCTGGCTGGCGTGCCCGGGCAACGGCTTGTCATGATGAATGGGTGTCACTATTGATGGCGGTCACACCCCCGGCGCCGACAGCTGCTGGAACAGTGTTGCCCACTCCAGGTGACGCCCTAGTCATGTTCGTCTGATGGTGGCTTGGAACGGTTGATGAAATGTGGTTTCGGTCGAAACGTATGAGGTCATGGTGTGTGTAGCGTTGTTTGGGCAGTTCGGGGCGCCCAGACGTAAAAGACCGCTGCGAAATCCGTTGGATTGGTGTGTCCAATGTCTGATTCTCCCTCGCTCAGACTTGTCATCTCAGAAGACTCACCTTGACGGTGTCCTGCTTGTTGCCGTGGTTGATGGTCTGGCTGGCGTGCCCGGGCAACGGCTTCTCATGATGAATGGGTGTGACGATTGATGGTAGTCACAACCCCGGCGCCGACAGTTGCCATCACCACGGGTCTTGCAACAGCGCCGCGTTCTTCAGGTGACTCGTATGTACATGGTTTTTTTACGGTGGTTCGGAACGCTCGATGAAATACTTTGTTGTTCGGAACGTAGCGGTCGTGGGTGTTGTATCGGTTCCTTGGCTCGTGTGAATCGCGCACACCTACAGAACCCGGGCCAAAACCTTTGGATTAGTTTGTCGAACATGCGATTCGTGATTGTCTGGACTTATATTCTGCGAGATCTGAGTTTGACCGTGTCCCGCTCGTTGCTGTCGTTGATGGTGTGGCTGGCGTGACCGGGCAACGGCTTGGCATCATGAGTGGTTGTTACTTTTGATGACAGTGAACACCACGGCGCCGACAGTTGCTGAAAGAGCGTTTCCCATTCTCGAAACGTATGAGGTCATGGTGTGCATAGCGTTTTTTGGGGCAATTTAGGGTGCCTAGATGTACAGTACCCAAGCGAAAACCTTTAGATTTTTTAGTCTAAAATCCGATCTCCGTTGGTTTGGCCATCTCCGAAGACTGAGCTTGACCGTGTGGCGCTCGTTGTTGTCGTTGGTGGTCCGGGTGGTGTGCGCGGGCAACGGCATCTCATCATTAAACTGTGTGACCATCGATGGCAGTCACAACCCCGACGTAGACAGTTGCTGGAACAATGCTGCCCCCTTCAGGCTGGCACGGTTGTCTGTGTGAAATTTAGGGTGTTTTTGAAACAGTTGAAGGCATTGTAAGCCTAGACTAAAGACACTATGTTTGCGCTGCCCAGTCGACCTCGGGCACAACCGGTTGAATTCGTCATTCTCGCATCCGATTGCCGTTGGTCAGCTTTAGCTCGTCCGGCTCGTTGTTGTTGTTGACTTCCCGGTTGACTTTCGTCCGAAACAGCGTGCCAATATGAACGCTTGTGTCGATGTACGGCAGTGATTACCCCATCACCCCTGCGCCGATAGCTGATGGAAACGTTTTGCCCACTCCGGGTGTCTCCCACGTATACATGCACTTCTTTTTGATGATGGCCCGCTTGACGATTCTTGCGAATTGATGCTAAACAGATGAGGTCGTGGTGACTGACCCTCAAGCTGAAACTCCAACGGCAGCACCTACCATGGCACCAACGTTTCTTGCTGAGGTAAACCATCGATATTCTCTCTGCTGCGGTAGTCAATGGATGGGAGAACACCTAGGCAGCACACACCCCAAACATGGTGGCAGGCTACCCTTGGTTCACGAATTTTCCGACGAAGGACCCTCGCTTTTCCGACCACGCCGCCGACTGGACCCCGGCCATTGCGTGTTGTATTGCAGGTTCAGGGGGCTGCTGCCAGTGCTGCCGCTGTTGTGTCTTCCGCGTCCGTTGTGGGTGTGGTGGCATCTACCGTTGGCAGCGCGACCAGTGCATCGGCGTCAGTGGTTGCGGGGGGCACGGTAGGTCGCGGTTCGTGCGCACACCTGGATACCGATGTATTCATGGTTGATTGGTTCTAGTTGCAGCACTCGTTTACGCATTCAGCATAGTAGTTCCCATGTTGCGACCATTGACCGGCAATCTTCCGTTCAAGTAGTCATGGTTGGTTGGTTCTGATTGCAGCATTCGTTCACGCATTCAGCATAGCAGTTCCCATGTGGCGACCCTTGAAGGGTTCAGCTCGGTTTCATTATCCTGACCTATCGCTTTCTAACCCCCCGTCATTCGAACCAGGGCCACGCAGCGACGCAGAGCACATTCCGCAACCCTTCGGCGACAATGGCACTCGTCCTTACCTCGCAAATACAGTTTCTAGCAACTCTGTCTTTCGTGGACTACACAGGGGTCGAAGTTTCAGCTCTCTCTGCGTTAACCAACCAATTCAGGTCAGGAGGAAAGCGTTATCCCTACTCGGCTGGACCGACTGCACCGGTAGATGAACAAATGAAATAGCCTCGTGCTGTCAAGAACTGCATTCAGAGTGACAATGCGCTTTTGGAAGCACGTGGCTGAACGAGCACGACTGGTGGAGACATGCAAGAACTTGCCCTAAACCTTCGTTTTGTGTTGGTTATCCTTCGTGCCCATGCCGCCCGCATGGATAAGGTGGGTGAACTTGTGGCCCTCCCAGAGCTTTTCTGAGGGTGTAGCATCACGGGTTTTATCGAACGAGCCTGAGTCAACCGCCGGAGAAGATGGTGATTCCGAAGAAGATGGTGATGCAACGCAGCGAGGAATCTCCTGGACAGTCATCAGCGATGTTGGTTCGTTCTTGTTCATGGGGAATCTCGCGCTGTTTGCGGGGTTCCTTCTGACCATATTTTCCTTGCACATATTGGTGGCGTCAGCGATTGAGGCGTACTGGCTGGCAAAGGTGAGATACCAGCAACGCTGTCCCGACGGAGTGCATCTTATTCGCCAACTGGTCTAGAGCGCATGTGTTTTACGCGATAACGCAGATTATGACCTGTACTTGGTGTATTGTGGTGATGAAACGGGTTGTCGCGAAAGCAAGAGTTACAACGAAGGGCTGGCGCGGTGTGTACACTGTAGTCGCCAAATCGCATTGCCTTTGCCCGTTTCTTGTGTTCGTCCCTAGCAACGGGCGAGGAATGAGGTTCCAAGAGCGTTGCGTGGGGACGTTTCTACCAGCGAGTTTCCCACTGCTTTGTTGGGCACTCGGCCCCAACAGAAGAACTTGGACGACGGCTGGTCAGCGGGGCGCCAGACATCAGGTACCATCCAGTCACCCCAACTAATGGAGCACCAAGCTGTATCTTCTTGGGACAGCACTGGCGGGGGGGATTCAACGAACGAACAAAAAAGAGGGCGAACGAACACGCGTGCGGGCAGTTCGATCGGCCAGGTGTCTCAGTGCCGAGAACTATCGCAGTCGGCGTGGCTTCATTACCCGCACCTAGAACTCGTCTTCCTTCTCTTCGCGTTCGAGGGCGCAGTGACCTCGCAGGTGTCAGCGTTGCGAACTACAAGTTCTTCAACAGTTTTCTACGCGGCCGTGGCAACTTTGGTGAGAATGTGGGAGTACGCCGTTAAAGATCAACAACGTGTTGCGGTGATTACGGTAGACGTACGTGTGTGAAGAAAGTTGGTCTATCACACCCGAGCAAACAACGCTACGGGATGCTTCGGGATGGCCAGTAACTGGACTTACATACCGTCGGATGGCAAAAGGCCGTCACGTATACATTCCCACAACTGCAATGTGTTCGAGAATATCGATTGTGACGATGGTACACCTCCTACATTTGCTATGGCCCTGTTCGAGGCAATGTTCCCGTACGTTTTGATTGCCCACACACTGCACAGATATCAATCCGCAGCGATGGACACGTCTGGACAGGGCTCTCGCCCGGTCGAGGGGGAAAATCACCTACACCATTTTCATAAATGGATTACTTTTCCTCAATAGGTTCATGTACCTCTGTAGAATTCGCTAGGCTCTCCAACCGCAGCAGCATCTCTGCTGGGCCCACTTGACTTTCCGACGCCACCTCACGGCTCACGGGCTCCGGTTCCACCCCTTTCGTGTCTGCTTCCGACAGTCCGTGCCCGCCTTTGGGCTGGGAGTTGTACTCTGTGTCCTGCGTTTTACTCTAGGGTGAAATTCTTCGTGACGAACGTCCTTGTTTGTTTGCCCTTTACTCGGCGAACAATCGCGCGAACAGGTTTTCTACCCAGTGCTGATGGTTGCAATGGTCGTGCGAACTCACAGGTAAGCGACTCCTTTCTACACGAAGGTGGTTAATTTGCAGTTTGCAGTAGGGCAGCGCTCATGCATGGCCCGTGCCGGTGCTGTGAGAACTACTGGCTTCTGTACTGTTTGTAAATTGTGTACATGCAATGATCTCCTTCGCATTGGCGGCAGATGCGCGGATTTCCGGCAGTCACCATATTCGCTAACACGCAGCCACGCAAGAGAACCTCTGTGAAAGGCTTGTATTTGCTCTACCGTGGAGTCCTGTTGCGTCTGTGAGTATCGACAGCTCCTTCAGTTGTTGCTGTGTCAAACAACTGGGCCTTGCATCTGCCGAATAGCTGCCATGTCATTTCTCGGTTTTACTCTCTTCAATGTACGCGGCAGGGTGAGGGTTCGATCAGATGCCCTCATCGTGTTCACCTCCAATGAAAGCGACGAAGGGTCGACCGGCACGTCGAGCATATATTCCAAAACGATTGCCGGGTTGAGAAAGGACTCCAGCTTATTTGCATGGGCGGATAAGGGGCAGTGGGAGACAGTCCAGACGACGGACGAAGACGCAAGACGGAACGCTGATTGGTTCCGGATCGGGTTCGAACCGCTGTTTGCAGACTTCACCCAAGCTGGATCGTGGTTCATCGTCTACACTTTGATTGAGGTATGTCGTTTTCAGGAGGGGTCTTCGCTAGCTTTCGTTTCGGAAGCCTACTTGGTTATCTCCGAACGCAGCAGGAAAACTTTATTTACGAGGCGGCCAAGCGATCAAACTATCTTGGTTTTTCTTCCGTGTTGCTGCTTGTTCACAACACCCCTCCGCACGAAATTATATATTGTGGGGGCGTTTTACCGCCGAACGCTTCACGTTCCGGCTCAAAGCGCCAGTCCGTTTCAAGCGTTATTTTCGCGCAATATTGCCGTACATTGGTCACCTGCCGAAAGTAATCGGTCCGTAGTAGCCAAGTGGGCTATGCAAACAACCGTCACATCTGCGATGCACTTAAATGGTATGGGCTCCAGCAGCGAGCGTAGTTACGTACGACAATTCAGTCCAGCTGGTTTTCTTCCGATCGACTTGTAACGAGGTATCGTCGCATGCTAACTACTGGGTTTTGGTGTTTGCTCTCGTGTCTGCTTGCAAAGTGGGCTGTCCTTGCCTGCATTGCCGTGCTGGTGGACAACACTGCGGTGCAATGCGGGTTGTTCTGCGCCATACATTCGATGACCTTCATCCTTCTTGTGGCTTGCAAGCCATTCGCGAACAGGTGAGTGCCTCTCGACTTTGCAGATGAACTGCACGTACGAAAATATGAAAATTTCCAGGGTAACTCACGGAGTCGAACCGCTCCGACCACCTTTTTTTTCTTTCTTTCAAGTTTCACGGGGCGGAGCGGAGCGTTTTTATTCACTTGAAAATGTCACGGAGCGGTGCGGAGTGGTTTATCCGAGGGCAAGTCCCACGGAGCAGACCGAATTTTTGTTTAATGTCACGGAGCGGAGCGGTTTGTCCGTAGTGCGTTTTTTTGCACGGAACGGTTTTGTTTACTCCGTAGCATAAACCGCGCGAAACCGTGGCCTTGAGGACGGTTTTCCGTCAGAAAAAACGTCGAAACCGCACGGATATCCGTACAAAATCCATGAAGTACCTTTCGTGAAAAACGTTGGGTTTCTTACACGAAAACCGATTTTCCGCTCGGGGTGCTGTGGTTGGAGGCCGCCGGTGACACCGTATGCGTCCTCGCCGCTAGGACAGCCCAAACAGAACAAAAAGCTGTCATCGATTACTCAATTATTCAGAAAGGGACCGTTCCCTGCATCGGTACCTCCTCGACTCCTATGTTCTTGCAACGCGTGCAACAGCAGATGATTCCTCACTTGCCTCTCGTTGAAACTTGCCAGACTAATACCTAATACCTCCTGCTGTGAAAGTACTAAAGAGAAAAAGAAAAATACCGTGACTCCGTGGGAAAACCGTGACTGTTTTGCTATTTTATCCGTGACTTCATTGCCGATGTATCCGTGCTCGTGTGTCGGAGTAGGTCAAAACCCCGCTCCGTGGATAAACCGCTTGTACTGATTTTTCGGAAGCTCCACGGAGCGGTTTATCCGAGGGCAAAATTCTCAAGGAGTGGAGGCTTTATTTGTTGTCATGTCACGGAACGGAGCGGAGCGGTTTTTCTCAAGGGAAGGCGTCACGGAGCGGTTTTAACCGCTCCGCTCCGTGGGAAAAAACTGCTCCGTTCAATACCCTGAAAATTTCGCTTCGTGCCACATGACCGTAACACTAAATCTGAGATCCTTGCCAGACAACGGGTGACTTGGTTTCAGTATGAGAAGTGTCCCAGAAAACGTGGGGACACTGTAGATACTGAAACCAAGTCCCAGTACCAGGCGATGTACAGTTTTACGACCTAGGGGGCACGCGGGTTGGGAGACGTGTACAGCAAGTCAGAGGCCCAGGAGAGGTATCACACAGCATACTCCGTATCACACAGCGTACCATCTCCGTCAACCATGATAGACCAAGGGTTTTCACGTGCGGTGCACACAGCGGAACCTAGGTGCGGGAAATAGGCATTTGAGGGTGGTGCCCCAAGTGTTCCCATTTGGGCTTCCAGCACTAGGTGGGAGGGTTAAACGATCCCGGAACTGTCAAGTTCACAGAGCATCCATTGACCAAACCTTACGACAGAAGTAGTTTGAAGACGATAACAAACGAGCCACACCGTTCAGAAAGGAAAAAGCTCACGCGTTGCGACACGCGCTACACCCCTCAGGGTTAGCCTTCCCCTTAGAAACAACAAATATCGCAACAATTTGCTCCGAAATAAATTCACACGGTAGTCTGTCGTAAAGGTGGGGCGTAGGCTCTTGAGACTGCCGTGATAAGCTCACCTAATAAGCCCATGCTCAGACCAACGAGTACTCCACGCTGCAGCAACGAACTGTCAAGAGCAGCGAGTTTAGACGCTTGAATTCGAAAACCGGTGGGTGGGACGAAGCAAGAGGCGTTGGTAAGGATTCGTCGCCCCTTTGTCGACTCGATGGCCTCCCAATCTGACTTCGTGGGCAGTTGCCTGCAATAGCATGTTCTTTGATGGAAAGTAAGTGTCAATCAAGCATGACACCTTTTCCTTTCAACTTTGACCGTTGGCCGAGCTCCTTCAATGTTTCAACGGGTCAAGACATGGCTCTCGTGCATGGCACGCAGCGTGGCAGGCACCCCCACGTCACGCGACAGGGGTATTATTGTACAACAAAGCTAAGCCCCTACTACCCCCCAAACCTTAAACCCCCCCCACCCCCACCCCCTCGGTGTTTGCCATCGGGGTTGGGTTTTCGTCGCTTGGCAACGACGTTGTAAAACAAGCCGCCCCCCCCGGTGTTTGCCATCGGGGTTTGGGTTTTCGTCGCTTGGCAACGACGTTGTAAAACAAGCCAAATCACTTCGTGAACTCGACAACCAGGTTACCGTTTTTTTTTTTACCTCGGTTTTTTTTTTGGCGGTAACCATAATGGTGGTCGAGTAGATCATGTTGTGCGGGGTGGAGAAACCTCACTCCGCGCAACGGGGGATGATCGCACCACGTTGTGTTAAAATGGTCAAGCTTCCTCGAGGCAGTTACACAGTGCTTACAACTGTCTCTGGAAGTGAAAGCACCAGAAAATAAATTAAGTCATACGTAGCTGTCATCCGTACGCAAGGAAGTAAGCACAAGATGCCGAACACCCTTAGCAGGATGCAGCTCACCCTTCATGCGACTCGCCAAATACCTCACGGCGCTTCGCGCTTGGTGATGTGAGAGCCTGGTCCGGTGAGAACCCGGCGTGCTCCGTCCCGGCTTTGTAGGGATGCGAGGTCAATGGTCAAACGACTACGGCATGCACGACTATGATTACACCCCCCCCCCCCCTCGCGCGACAAGATTGACGTGTAGCCTGGGGGTGTTCCATGATTCCACTTGGGGGGGGCCTTGGTTTGGCCGCTTTCTTTCTGTCTTGGCAGTTTTGGTGGCACCGCGCGAGTTGCGAAATGTCTGTCGGACAAGAAGGAGAGGAAAATATGCATGACTGAGCTGGGAAAACTAGAAGGAAAATACAGGTAGATGTTTTAGGCATGGAATAGCCAGGAGAGGGCGGTAGCTGTACTGGGGCATGGAACGTGGGTTGAAGAGGCGGGAGGTGATATTGATAGGATGGACAGGCTAACCCTAAACATTTTTGAGACACCTGGCAAAGTAGGTAGGAACGTTTGGCCACAGGGTCTTCGGTCCTGTGGGAACAATGCTCCGTCCTCTCGAGGACGCGTGGTCAATGGTCTAACCGCTAAGGCATGCAAAACATTAGAGTACGCCCCCCCCCCCACTTCGCACCAGTGTTACTTGAAACGGAGTAGTGCCCCTCCTCGGCGCTGATCTGAAACTGTCGGTGGGTGTACCGGTGGGTGGGGTCACCGAACACTCCGTGAGTCACCCCTCACCACCTTCATGGGTTCTTATCTTGCAGCTGCCCCGATGTGGGGGCCTTTTCTTATCTGTTTGCGCATTGTTACACCACAAATGCGGATTCTTGTTCTTATACCACGTCGGAATTGAGCACCTGTTCTTATGGCCAAGTTCTAAAACATTGCATTTCTTCACTGTTAAGTTCTTAAATGCGAGCGCCATCTGTATTATGCAAAGCAATGCACATGCGTCAGTGGGGAGAGATGTCTAAATAAGAGACACACAGAAGTAAGTTGACGATTGTTTTGCACAACCTGGTGTTTAGTTAGAACGAGTAGGAGTTGAGAGTGAGAGTGAGAGGCGAGCTGGCCAGCTCTCGATTGCGATAGAAACAGTGTCTACTATCGGGGACCCCGAACAGTCAACCGGCTATTGTGGGGTTCCCCCGAGAATTGTTCTGACCGTTTGCTGACTGACCCGTACGGGAACGTGCCGCAAAGATGTGGTCGCTGCTCTGCTTTAACCCGCACGTGTCTGCTGGCTACTGCTGGTTGCGGATACCATTCTACAGCATTCTAGAGACCTAGCATACGTAAGCTTACTGTCATATGGCTTGGTCCACGTTGTATACAGTACATCGAATACAGAAGGGAAAGAAACTGGCCACTGGCTAGGTACACAGACATGTAAAGAACCCCACGTACGTATCCCGACAGTTCTGGCTTGAGCAGGGCAAGTAAAGCGCGTTTGATTAAAGGTCGAGGTAGGTGTATTCCCGGCTCACGGGCAGGGCATGGAATGTACGGCACGTCGAGGTAAGGGTATTCCTGGTAAGGGCGAGATATGGAAAGACGGACAGGGTGAGACAAGCATGTTCTAGGTTGCAGCAGCGCATGGAAAGGCACGAACAGTATGGGTAGGCGTTTGTTAAAGAGACCAACGACGAGAGGAGTGTGTGTCGCAAGAAGGCGAGGGTCATCAACGTGGTGGAAATCACAGACAAGAAGCGATGCGCATGATGTCGTGTGTTGTATTTTGGCCATGTTTGGCTGGGAGCTGCTGTATAATGTGTTTTTTCATCCACGTGATTGAGTGTGCGCGCACTCCGAAACAGAATCTATTCGTTATATCATCGTGGCACACGTTGTTATTCTGCGCGTATAGACTAAAATGAAACCTGATTATGAAGGCGAGGGAGAAGAATCCTAACTTGATTTTTTCCCATTCTGATATGCTGGCCGCCTGTACGCAGCATTCTGAATACAATGGGAGCAATCGTTATGTTGGCGGACTCGGTTTGTATGGGGATGCTGGCCCTGTCCGCTGGTGTGTTCCGCTTGACTGCCGCAGCGGATAGAATCGACATTGCGGTCATGGTCATACAGCAACTGTGCATTGCAGGTGAGATGCGGACGAACTTCATTGTGATTCCAGCAACATATTTCTGACGGACGGCGGAAGCTGATCATATCGACCAAGTATGGTCTACCATTATTGGTGGACCACTGCTGTTCTTCTAGAGTTGCTCAGGGGTGCCCTCTCGTGTATGTACCGCCGAACGTCCCACGGTAAGACGCCTCAACAACATTTGTTGTTCTGCCTCCAGGGCAGTTGCCGGCACATGATGAGTTCGCCTCGCTATCCGCGCTGATTCTTCGTGGAACGTCCTTGATTGCATTGACAGTACTGGTGGTACCGCTCTATGTGGACACTCTCCTGGCGTTGTGGGGGGCGATTCGGAACAGGAGGCGACGCGTCAAAACCAGGGAAAATGCGGCTCAAGTGAGTTAATGTAAACACCATGCGCACCCGAAAGCCGCTCAATAGATGTTGTAGTGGTGCCACCTATCTGGCATGACTGCTATGTGCGTACGTTATTTGTTTTCCGGCAAATAATCGAGGTAGAAAGATTTACCGCTATGCACGTCGTGAGCAATCCATCCCACAATCCTCCAGTGTTTTTCCTTCGAATTGCCTTCATCATAATCTTTCCGGTAATTCTACTTACGACACCGCACCGAATGCTTCGAAACTACATCGCTGTATTCCTACGGCTCTCAGTTGTCGCGCAAACCCTCGTTCGTCTCATAGTTACCGGTGGTTACCGCATAGTTACCGGTGGTTTCCGAGATTTGGCCCAAGAAGATGTCACGGCACCACCTCCGCGGTGCCGTGAAATTGTTTATTTACGACACCGGTCAAAATGTTCCGAACCCACCCTCAACAGGCACGAAAACCACTTGCACGGTGTTCCCAGGGCCCCCAGCTGTCACACAAAGCCGTAATTTTTGGCCTAAACCAATACCGTACGTGGTTCTCGAGATACGCCCAAGAATGTGGCCGCAGCACCACCTCGTCGGTGTCGTAAATAACCCATATATTCGACACCCTAACGAACCTTTCCGAGAACGCATCTGGTGGGCACAAAACGATTGCACTGTGTTCCTAGGCCCCCCAGCTGTCACACAAGCCGTCTTTTGGTCGAAACTAATGGTAGGTGTTTTTCGAGATACGCCCAAGAATGTGGCCGCAGCACCACATCGCCGGTGTCGAAAACAAGACACCGCGCAAACCTTTCCGAGAACACATGCTTTAGGCACAAACCATATTTTGCTGTGTCCCCACGCCCACCAGCTGTTGCGGCAGTCGTTATTCGACCGAAATTAACACGTGGTTGTCGAGAAACATGTGGTTGCCGCTATACATGTAGACCTACAAGATCGACTCGAAGACATAACATCGCAGGGTGACATTTCCCAAAACGTGTTTCACTGTCAACTTCAAGAACGGTTACCGTCGAGAGAACCACTGTGAAGCTGAAGCAAAACTCACGGGAAGGAAGGCGATGGCAGCGGTCGTCTCTGCTGGTGTT